ACAAAAACATACCTTTATATCAATTAGTAAGTATCAATGCCAGTCTTTAAAGTAAGGTATATTAATTAACAAAATAATTGATCTCCATATGCAGCTTTCTTTCTCAGATACTCGCAAACTAATCTCGGCAAGAAACAAGTAACCACACAGAAGATTAAATTCATCAAACAAATGCTGAACTGCAGCCTTATCTTTAAAGACATCCAGCTTTGCTAAATAGTTATGAATGTTAACAACTTGTACCTGGTGCAACTGCCTTGAATTTTTTCAGAAGTCGTATGTGAGTTTCAAGTTTGATGGCATCTTTCACAAATTCAGAGCAAACACAGTTCTCAAGAAGTGTGAAATAGTAGAGTAAGCGCTGATGATCCTTTCCTTCAATGATAGGATATACATATTTGGTCATATGCTCATGAAAGGCTTTTGGAACAGTTTTCAGAGTCTCAAATAGGCCAAGACTTTTTGCCCGGTCTTCTATTGCAACTGTGGACAAACTGCATGGAAAAGCAAAAGAAAATGTAATAAATGAAACCACCCATTTCATCAATTTATCAATCTAACTTTTTGCTAAATACTGGGTGATGTTATTAAGTATGAAAAGATTTTCAAAGAGAGAGGCTCTCTGCATTAAATCCTAAACTATCATCTGCAAGCCAATTGCCTTGCTCATAAGCACAATTATCCACAGTTCTAAAAACTCAGCAACTTTTTGAAGGACATAATAAGTATTATGTCCTTCAAAAGTATTTAAATATGATGTTCTAATAATTTAATGAGTATCAGCTTTTATTTGTAAGTTAGAACAGTAGTGCCACATATCAAGAAAAATAAAATAAAAGGAAACTATGAAAATGGTGTAGGACAACATTAATTAAAATTATTTCTAATTTTAAGCAATAAAAAAAAAAGAAACAAAACCCCTAAGTACCGGTATAATTTCTTGCTTTGGTGAGGATTCTTTCCAAATGAATCAAAATTGTGTGCTTTTCTAATAATGCTGCAGTTAAGGTTTAGAATAGAATAGAACAGAATATCAGAGTTGGAAGGGACCTTGGAGGTCTTCTAGTCCAACCCCCTGCTTAAGCAGGAGACCCTATACCATTTCAGACAGGTGGCTGTTGTGTCACTTCTTAAAAGCCTCCAGCAATGGAGCAGCCACAACTTCCGAAGGCAACTTCTGTTCCACTGGTTGATAGTTCTCACTGTCAGAAATTTCTCCTTAGTTCTAGTTCAAATCTCTCTTTGATTAATTTCCATCCATTGTTTCTTGCCTTGCCTTCAGGTGCTTTGGAAAATAAGTTGACCCCCCTCTTCTTTGGGGCAGCCCTTCAAATATTGGAACACTGTTATCATGTCACTCTGTTTTTCTTTTCACTAGACTAGCCACGTTTAATTGCTGCAATCGTTTTTCATATATTTTAGTCTCCAGTCCCTTAATCATCTTTGTTGCTCTTTTCTGCACTTTTTCCAAAGTCTCAACATCTTTTTTTTATTGAAAATTTTAGGGAAAAAAACTTTTACAAATGTTTACCTCCCCGCACTGCCCTCCCCACCCGAACCCCACCCCACCCCAACCTTCCTTCCACCCCGACTTCCCAGAACCAATACAGGGTATAAATCTTTAACAAAGATATTCTAAAATGAAATTAAAGAAAGTTAGTATCATCTTTCATTTGAGCTTTAACTCCTCTTTGCTAAACAGATTATATCATTCCTTGTTTCTTCAGTCATAAACTATCTGGAATTTCTTAGTCCCATATTTATTTTGAGTA